TAAAAAAGAGAGCTCAGTTGTCAAAGAGGAAAGACACATTCAAGATCAGACCCAGCCAAAATCGACAGTCTCCATGAAGCAACGACTAACTTACCAAAAGGACCAAGTAACCCACAGAGAATTTTCCTGTAGCAACAGGAGCCTACAACTCAAGATACACCTTCTGAGAGTACAGCATGGCCCTGACACCCAAAGCCAGACAGGATTCAGAGGCTGATAGCAGCTATTCAGGCAGTGGAAGGCCAACTTCTGACTGGTACTGGATATGGATGTTCCACCCTATGTGTTAAACTACATGCATTAGAATGACCATGAAGGATTTCCCTACCATCATACGTTGCTATATTTTCACAGACCCCTGAGCTCAAATTTTGTGCATGAGTTTTTTTCTGTGTCACTGGACCATGACACATTGGTAATCAGTACACAGAGAACATGTTTCACAGTTACTTCTTTTTATATGTAAATTGAGAATACTTGTGTCTTTCTTGCAGGATACTGAGAATTACATAAAGGAATTTATATTAAGTCTAGTTAGCTCAAAAAAATAAACAAGTGCACATTGTGAACTGAAGAAATGAATAAAAGTGACTCATAAGTTTTACAATACTAGAAAGACCACCAACTCAATGTTTCTACTGTTAAAAATTCATTTTTCAAATTGCTGTGAATGGGCAGCTGGGAAATTTATAGACTAGAATGGAAGGGATATATGAAATCAGTATATAAATGATTTTAATCATTTCCCTCCATTTAAGCCATAAAGGGATGAGTTAAGGAAAAGAGAAGTATGGATAAGGGTTGTTCTGCACAGACACAGAACAAAGTTGGGGCAGTCATATTACACCAACAAGCTTTTAAAATACTACAGAAAGACAACCTCTGAGACCACAGAAAGAATCCCCAGACAAAACCAAAAAGAAAAAGAAACAGTCTCAGTGTAGAATTGATGGAGAAAAGGCAGGCTAGGTGACAATGCTGTTAATGCGGGGTCTGAGGATGAAAACATCAACTAAATAAGGTCTGCCAGCTTTAGGAAGAAGAACTCCACAGAAAACCAGTCAATTCATCATTGAGACTCTCATAAACATTAAGTCCTAGGATACTTAGATTTTATATTATCTTATGGTTTGTGTCTAGATATCCCCTTAAAGCCTCATGCAGTCACAGGTGGGGCTATTTCATAGGTGGCTGGAACTACAGTGTGCGACAACTGGGACTGATTCATGGTGCAATGCTAGGATCAAGGACTCTAGGATTAAGGATATGAGGGTTACCCTCCCTGAGTAGCCTGGATGAGATAGAAGAGACAGAAAGAACTGTGGCCATCCCTTGCTTGCTTTGCTACCTTCTTCCCGCCAAGACTGTTTCTCCTCTGCAATGTCTGTCTTCCATGCCATCCTGCCTTGGAGCCAGCCAGTGACAGAGTGAAATCTCTACAAACTGTGAACCAAATAAACCTTTCCTTTTTTAATTTTGGGTGTTGAATACTTTGTCTCAGGAATGAGAAAAGTAACTAAGACATACTACTTTCCCTTGTTTACAAAATTAATCAAGAGATGCTATATAGGTGGGAAAAATATGGAAATTCATTTGAATATGTTTTAATTAAAAGTAAATATTTCTCTTAGCTCTCCAAATGCTCATATGGAGGACCTAGAGAGAGAAACAAAAAGAAGCTTGCTATTTCTTTTGGAAATGCTAAGATTTTTATGGATTATAACATACAGCTACAGAAATATACAAATTATTTGTAGCAGAGCTCAGTGAGTGTGTGCAAAGAGAAAACTATCTCGTGGGGCCGGGGATGTAGCTCAGCAGCATAGCACCTGCCTGGCAAGCGCGAGGTCATGAGTTCAATTCCTGGTACCAAAAAAAAAATCCATCTAGTTAACACCTGATCAAGAAACAGAATTCTATCCAGAAACCTTCTCTGGTCTGCTTCCAGTGATTGCCTTCCCCAGGTGTAACAATTATCCTAACTCTCTGCTGTGTTTTGGATGTCGAATGTCCCCAAAGCCCACATATTGAAAGATTGGTCTGCAGGAACCTCCTATTGGAAAGTGATGAAAGCTTGGAAAGGTGTGGCCTGGTGAGTTATTAAGCCACTTGGGAAGTGTTCTTGAAGGGACTTGTAGAACACTGACCCTTCCTTTTTGTTTCCTAGCCCTGAAGTGAGTGGTGTCACTGCATTTCATCCCACTAGGATACGCTGCCTCACCAGAGGACCAGAATCTCTCGAATGGTAAGCCAAAATAAGACTTTATTCTCTATAAATTGATTATCTCAAATAATTCTATATAGCAATATAAGCATAACACATAGTCTAAGATTCATGTTGCCTGCTTTTCAAGTTTAAAAAAATACAATTAGTGTGCGCTTTTATATCTGTTTCATATATTCACTACAACATGTCTGAGATTCATCCATGCCATAGCATGTGCTTATAGTTTGTTCATCCAGCACTTAATACTGTTTCTATTTTCTGCTTTTGCCATTCTAGTGGATGTCATGCATACTGTATTTTAAAAGAATGTAATCAAGTTAATACACTCTAACAGACAAAAATGATACTACTGTTTACCATTTATAGTGAATCTAGATAGCCTCACTTTAAACATAAACCCCAGTTGCTTTAGATGCAAAGTGTAAGGATACAAGAATTGAAATCCAACTACACCAACTTAAGAGAATTAACAGATTTTGATGAGTGCTTTTGACTGTGTGCTTCAATATAACCTAGATTATTTAATCTTTCTAGCCTCTGTGTATAGAGAAGTTATAAAGACAGAGACGTAGGCACCTGCCCAGGTCACATATATAATTAGTGATGGGCTAATGAGTCAAATCTTTGAGCTCTCCCTCTAGGCCTAGAGTAATCAAGAGTCAGTCAGACTTTTCAGCCTATTTTTTTTTTTTTTTTGAAACAACACAATCTTGAATGTAAGACCTGCTATGTGAGTAAAAACTACACATTTTCTGGACGTTAAATTTTCTCAGGACCAAAAACAGTATCAGCAAATTTTTATATGGCCACAGCATAATTTTCTTTTCTTTTTAAAATACAGAATAATGGTACCCACCTTGGAATATTGGCACATGTGTATAATACATTTTAATGAGTTTTATGCTCATTGCCTGTCCCTTTCCTCTCTTTTTCCTTGACCCCCTCACCATCTCTAAAAGTCTACCTTTAAATTTCCTGTTATATTTCCTCTTTATTTTATTTTATTATTTTATTTTATTTTTACATTGCTCATGCAAAAGACCACAACTTTCTGAAACTGGCTTATTTCACTTATGATAATTTTCAGCTCCATCCATTTTTTTGTAAGACATGATTTCTTTTTTCTCTACAGTATATATATGTTTATATATATATAAAATTTTCCTTATGCATCAGTTGATGAACATCTAGACTGTTTCCACAGCTTAGCTTTGTATCACTGTAGTATGCTGTCTTTAGTTCTTTCAGGAATATTCCAGGCTTTTGCCTAGTGGTTAAAGTGTTGAAATTTTTTCATATTTTTATTGACTAGTTTTACTTCTTCTTTTGAGAATTCTGTTTAGTCTTTTTGTTCATTTATTGATTTGGTTAGCGTTTTGGATAGGATTTTTAGTTCTTTAATATTCTGGATCTTAATCCTCCATCAGAAGAGTAGCTACAGTGTTTTCTCCCATTCTGAAAGTTGTCTCTCCACTCTACATATTTTCCTTTGCTATGCAGAAGTTTTCTAATCCTGCTTGTTGATTTTTGATATTTTTCTCTGTGTTACTGAAATTCTATTCAGGAAATATTTGCTAGTGCTTAATGCTTCAATTGGTTTTCCTGAGTTTTCTTCTAGTAGTTTCAAAATTGCTCATCTTATGTCTACTTCTTCATCTATCTTGATTTCATTTTGGTACAGTGTGAGAGGGGGATTTAGTTTCAATATTTTACATGTGGATATCCAGTTTATTAAAGAGGCTGTCTTTCAGTGTATCCTTTTGGCCCCTTCACTGAAAATAATTTTTTTGTTACTCTGACATGGTAGTATAATTTGAAAGTAGGTATTGTGATGTTGCCAGCATTGCTTCTCTTACTTAGAACTGCTAACAAGAATATTTTCATTAGTATTGTAATTACTACTAAAAACTGTTAAATTGGGGGCTGGGGATTTAGCTCAGCAGCAAAAGCGCCTGCCTGGCAAGCTCAAGGTCGTGAGTTCGGTTCCCGGTACCAGAGAAAAACCAAAAAAATAAAAAAAATAAAAACTGTTAAATTTACATTTTTTTAAAAAGCTGTTGTTTTTCAGTTATATTTTCCAATCTAGTATCGGTAAGATCTTTAAATTAGTATCTTCCCAGTACCTTGCAAATAGATACAGTATTCATCTTTTGCCACTAATATTACTGCAAAACCATGCCTAAAATTTATGAGTCAGTTACCTGCACTGCTGTGCTCCTCTCCCTCCCCATTCCCTTCATTACTTTATAAAACATCATGGGCATCTACTCCATCACAGCAGGAAATCTCCAGGTTCCATCTTCTCCTTTCCCTCCTCAATTGCGTATAGTTACTCTCTCATTGATTTAAATTGGTTTTCTCTCCAGCAACTCAGTCCTTTGAGAAATAATGTTTGATTTTATCTTTCTTCTTTGATCATTGACCTTCTTTCCGCCTTTAACCACATCTGTCGGCTATTCTAATTTCTTTCATCAAAGTGTGGATTGCTACGCTTTCCTGCACTTGACCTCAGTCCCAGACCCTCCACCTGGCTCAGAGCTTGGGATCAGCCACTTGCCAAGCGTGGTTATTCAGATTTTACTCCTCTGTGAGTTCAAGTCATCAACGTATGCTCCCAGGACCACTCCATAACTGTATGGAACAACAACACAATAGAATGCAGCAAGTAATTCCAAGCGAGAAAGCACTGACTATTCCCTAGTAAACAAACCATATTCTCATCACTGTAAGTAACATAATCTTAGTCAAAATAGTAATTAGAGTAAAAAATGTGTTTCCAGTTTGGAGATTTTTTTTTCTTTATTCCTTCACAAGCACTTGGTTTAGACGATGGCTAATAAAACAATAGGATATAATGATACTGGATCTTGAAGTTCAGAATTAGAAGTTGATTTCATCCAAATGTGAACTAATGTGCCACACTGGAGAGTAGTACAGGAGAAAAACTGAAGAATGTGAACCTCAATTCTAGGTACAGGCTGGGAAAAAGGAAAGGGAACAGAAATCCATTATCATCTCATTTCCATCAGCATAGATGAAGGAATCAATAATGCAAATATATCTGAAAATAGGAAAGAAACAACAGAATTTCAAAAGCTGCATGTGAGACAATGTGGAGAAACAGGATAAAAACAGCCACATGTGTATTTATATCACTAGCAATGATTATGAAGGGAAATCATTGAGGAAGGGAAAACAGGAAACAAACTTCTGGTTTTGCTGGTAATTAATCAAAGATGTTCTTTAGTTAGGAAAATTTTGAGTTCTAGGGAAAAAAATAACCAAATGTCACAGTTTAGGCAAAGAAGACCCCCACAGCCTCATGCACTCAGAAGCAGGGCCCTTGGAGAGTGGGTGGGCCAGGGAAGCTCTGAGTTCACCAGCTGAGTGGACGGTTGGGAGCTGGAGGCCAGAAGGAAGAGGCAGTCACTGCAAGTGTGACCCTGATGCTCCTGGTTGTGACCCAAGAATCATCCCCAGCCCTGTCTTCCTGCTTCATTCTGCTCCCTGGCTTCTGTGAGGAAGCTGCTGTCCTCATGGGACCACTCAGCCATGCTGTCTCTAACGTGGAACCACTTACCTTGGACTGACATTGTGAGTCCAGGTAAAACTTCCCCTTTAAATTGCCCATGTAGGGTGCTTTGTCCCAGTGATGCACAAAGTGGGTAACACACTGGCTGAAAAGAAAGAACAAAATTAGCTCTATGAATCCATCACCTTGTGGGTGAGACAAGGTTGCTCAAATGTATTTCAAAGTTTAAGTAGATAGCTAAAAACACTATCCGCTGGATGAACACAAATTCTATGCTGTTAACACTTTTTTCTTTTCCACAGTTAGATCCTAGAAGTTTCCAACCAGATGTTATTTGGAAAAAGTAACTATCTGTCTTTACATTGAGTGAACAGAAAGAGACAATACCGCTGAAATAGAATGCATGGAAAATTGGGTGATTTCTTCTATCATGTATTCAAAATTTCTTAAATGACATTAAATGTGCCAATTGGCCATTAACTAGCCTAACACTAATTGTGACTTCTCTATGGCAGTCTTATCTTGGCAAATGGAATAGAGTGTTTTTGTTTTTGTTTTTGTTTTACTTTCAGCAGAACAAATGCTTTTCTTTCTTCTCTTCTTTACATACAACTATGAAATTAGAGTGCACTACCTTGTTACAGTAGTAGAGTAAAAATAAAAAATCTAGACTATAAATTTTCTAGCATTTAGGTTAATTATTACAATGACACAAGTCTCAAGAGTTAGGAGAGTTAAAATGTACAATGGGATGTTGAGCATAATGTCATGTGTCAGAGTGCATAAGTCAAGGGTTATGTCCTCTTCCTGACCTCAGTGCCGTAAGATGTCATGTGAAGATACCATTCTCTCATCTCTCCCCCAGAAGGAACCATGGTGGTCCAGGTGGACACAAGAAGCCCGAGGCGGTTGGATGCACACCTAACCACACAACTAGACCTCCAAGATTCTCCTGTGCATCACTTGATTCATCTTCTCTGCCTTCTCTGCCTCTTTTTCCCTCTTTCAAAAAACCAAAAAGGTAACATTACCATCATAGAAGTCTTTATATAATGTAAACTAGACAGAGAGCAAATGAGATTGTCTATAGTTAAACAGCTTATTCTTATGTTTTTCAAATTATCTTGTAGAAAATGTCCACACTTCAGGGAATGTTATTTGTTTGTCATTGTTGTTGTTTGGCTTAGTTTTGTGGTTCCTAATGAATTGCTAAAGCAGATAACATCTTATACGTCATTGAAACACCAAACTCCTTTATATATTTCTACGTGCTCAGTTTCTGGACTTAACAGTACCCAGGGTCTCTGAATAGCACTAGTGTAGTCTAAAGCTGTATGGTTAGGGGTCCCAGCCTTACTAAGAAAGACCTGACAATTGTTAGCATTCTCCAGCAGGATGTGTTTACTATTGGGTGGGATTTGACCATAGAATATTTGTTCACACTACACACCAAAAAGGGAATCTCAGTTGCAGACATGTAGATAGATAGCTGAGTCTTAATGGTATCATCTGTCATAAGAAGTTTCCCTGAGTCTCTGTTCTATCTAGGCTACAAAGTTCATACACCTAGAGCAGTGACCATTTCTGTGATTTTTTTCCCCATCATAATATTTCCAAAGCCATTCCTCAAAGTCATGAAAATAGTGAATTCAGTGAGGCATTTGCTTTATTTTATGTATTGATTGATATTTGAAGCCTCTAATAAAGAGCCATAAAATATATTTTTACCCAACTTTTCTAAAATTTTAACATTTAGTTTTCATCCACACCATAACATAAAGACTACTATAGTCGCAGATTCAATCTGCCAATTGCTTTACACACCTGAAGAAGAAAGAATTGATTGATTCATAATTTCTACTAGAGTAGAACCAGTCATGGAAAATCAATAGCTTAAAATGTTTCAACTACTGTTTAAAACACTAACCAGTAGAACAAAGAAAATGGAAGAATTCTGCACCTGTCTGATATCAAGCACAAAAAGCAAACAAATCCACATTTGGAAATAGGGGGAAATATTGGCTTTGTGGAGACTACTCTTTGATAGGTATTTATCAATCCCACAGTAAACATCAGGCCTTTCTTTAGCCTCCAATGCTAGCAAGACCTTCAAAACCACTGCACAACTTTCATATGTTAGCCAATTCTCTCTTCCTCTAAGCCAGCAGTCCTCAAACAAGCGTAATTCTGCCCAGGAAGAAAGAATCTTGGACACATGCATTTTCCCTGCACCCTCTTTTTCCCTTCCTTGCCTTCCTGTTTCTTATACTCTTTTTTGAACATGAGCACCACTCATGGCCCTGCATCTGTGCCAACAGTGCACAGAGCCACAGTCTAAAAGCAACTCTTCCTTCTGGCCAAAACTCTGGAAGAGGAGCAAGTTGGCAAGTGTGGGAAGTGTGCAGAGGACAGAGCTGGAGAACAGTGTGACCACAGGCTGTGTATGGCCCAGCACCAGTCTTGGGCTTATCCTTGAGGTGAGGTGCACAGGATTGAACAGAAAACAGTATAAAGAAGACCAGGATGATGTGGGAACCCACCTACATGTGGTCAGACAGAAGCTGTCATTTGAACCAAACCTATTGGTTGTGTGCTAGCAAAAAATTAAAAGGATGTTCTCCAGATGATTTATGGCTGGATTCATTTTATTTTCTGTATTTTTGATGTGCTGCTATCTAACACCTTGATGACCAGGAAATCACTGCTCTTCCCAGGGTCAGCTAACTTCTAGGGATAGCAAACAACTCATCTTACGAATACACCTTTTGTACACCGACCAGGCTATTCAGAACCCACCCTCCCCATAATCCCCATGTTCCCTATCTGACTGTTGGACTCCAGGCCAATATTGCCCTTCCCTAATTATTCCACAGATGAACACCAGAAAACTCAGAAAAGTCCCTACACAGCCAGAGTCTGCTCAAAGTATTTAAACTAGTCAATCCTTAGCTTATTGCCCAGCCTTGTCCATTTCTTCCTGAGAAAACCACAATAAAGACTCTTGCTATATTGCCCTCATGCTCCCTCTGTCTCATGGCTGACCTGGCAGAGGCCTTCCATGGCCCTGCATGGCAAGACATCCCTCCACCTGGAGAACAGTAACAAACTGTATTTTCAGTGTCAGTTGCCACTTGATTTGTTAGCCTCACCATACCTGAATAATAATATTTATATTAAAAAACCCAGAACTTGCATAGCACAATATTCAAAATAGACACAAGTCAAATTAATTGATAAGTAAATAACCAGAAAAAATATGACCAATTCTTTTTTTTTTTTTTGGTTTTTGGTTTTTCTCCGGTACCGGGAACCGAACTCACGACCTTGCGCTTGCCAGGCAGGCGCTTTGCCGCTGAGCTAAATCCCCAGCCCCTGACCAATTCTTATGAGTCAAGACCATCACTAAATCTCAAACCTGAGATGAGCCAATGTCAGTGTCAAAATTATCAGAAAAGACTGTATTTTAGTTATGGTCAATGAGGTAAAGGTATCTGCTCATGCAATACACAGATGCAATATACTAGCAGAGAAATAGAAAGGCACCAGAAGCTGGAATAGCAAGAGAGGATTCACCCTAACAGTTGTTAGAGTGTGTACCTCTCTGGCTACACCTTGATTTCAGATTGAACAGTGACAGAATAAATTGCCAAACTTTTTAAAACTACTAAATATGTGACAATTTGTGTTACCACAGGAAATTAATACAGTAGGATAAACTCTATAAGTAATCTGAGTGTAGAGGCCACATTGCCAAGGTGGTGTGCTGAGCCCAAAGAGCATTCTGTCCTTTCCCAGACAGAAATAATGAAGACAATGCCCAGGTAGGGTTCAGAGTAGCCTTTGGTACCAGACCCTGTATAAGTAACAACCACCCTATAGGAAATGTTTATACTTATTAGAGTCTTCTGCTCTGAATTCAGGAGTAAGAGAATGATTCATTTACTTTCTTCTGTTTTCCTTTTTGTCCATGCACCTAATAAATAATCATCTCTTCTTTAAAGTACTACTTTATACACTACCTATTAAAATGCTACTTAATTTGTTGAACCACAAGTAAAAAGAGTTAGAACAGGGTGTCTGTGAGATTCTGAAATTCTTTAGAACTCATTCTTTCAGTGGAGTGACTTCACTTCCTTTCTAAAAATTTATTGTAAAATCAGAGTGAACTAGACAAAGTTGTTGTACAAATTATTCACCACAGCATTATTCATAGTAATAAAAAATATTTAAAATAAACTAAATAACCAACATGAAGGATTTGTTAAATATATTTCAGTAGAATTATACCAAAGGTATTATGCAGTCATTTAAAAAGGATGGTGCTAGTGATATATGTATTGATAGTAATATATTGTTGTACAGAATATTCACTATGAAATATTAGCTGATTCCCTATGTTTTATGAAACACAGTAAAAAAATAAATGTCTACATGATGAAGATCACCCCTCATGATAGTCAACCAACAGGGGATTGGTTTCAGGATGCTAAGACACTAAAATCTGTGGATGCTCAAGTCCTTTGTACATAAAATTGTACAGTATCTAATCTATGCATATCCTGCTCACATACTTTAAATCATCTCTAGAATACTTACAATACTTAAGGTATTATAAATCCAGTGTTGATTATTATTGCACTATACAGTTTAGGAAATAATGCAAGAAATAAATCTGTACATGTTTAGTGAGTTGCAATTATTTTAGAACTATACTTTTGATTCTCCATTGGTTGAATCCAAAGATGCAGAACCAATGGATACAGAGGGCCAACTGTATGTAACAAAATACTAATAATGATTTTCTTTGGATATAAAATTATACATGATCTTAATATATTTCTCTATATATTTATCATTTCAAAAATGAACATATATTACTTGTGTAAATTAAGGGGCATTTAAAAAGAAAACCTTGGGTTCTATCTTACTTCAGTAAAAATGGCTATTGTCAAGAACTCACAAAACAACAAATACTGGAGAGGCTGCCCAGAAAAAGAAACTCTCCTACATTGCTGGTGGGAATGCAGACTAGTACAACCACTACAGAAGTCACTATGGAGATTCCTCACAACACAAAAAATAGAAACTCCACTTGACCCAGCTCCACCTCTTCTGGTATCTTCCCAACAGAATTAACATCA